GAGATGGGGATAAGATTCGTAAGATTCAATGGTGAAGAATTGTTATCATGAGTAATCTCGACGGTCACAATTGTAAAGTTAGAGGTTTTGTAACAAAAAAAGGGGAGTGGCTAATCTTACAGTCCAGAAACAGAGGACCCTAGGACCATCAAGAAAGAAATGCACCAACAGAATATGGGACCTTATCCAGAGAAGCAGCGACACCAGAGATGGAGGCAGATGGGGGCCTGGAAAGGAGGGCGGCTGAAAACTCTAGATTAATGGGAAGAGAGGGACTAAGAGACAATGGCTAGGAGGTAGACTTGCAGAATGTGTCCTTTGATGGTGTAAATGACTATATATGCCCGAGTGTTGTTTTTGAAAAAAGCTGAAAAACAGTATATAGAGAAATGCTATTAACTGATGGTACATGGTGGGGGCTGTAATCATTGTGATAAAAGAAGTTGTATGAGTTGTTGAACGTAAAACTGATGATTTGTCCTGTAAACTATCACTCAATCTACAATAAAAACTTAAAAAAGATATATATGTATTTGAAATAAATAAGTCATTGGTCTTACAAAATCCTATCATCTGATCTCTGGCATCGTTTCTGTTACCAAGGCCACATTTATCAACTACGGGTCATTCCTCTGTGTCCAACTTTCACATTCCAGTCACCAGTAATTAACAATGCATCTTGATTACATGTTTATTAATTTCAGGCTAAAGAAGCTGATAGAATTCTTCAATTTATCACTGGCTTTAGTGGTTGGTGTGTAAATGTGAGTAATAATGGTATTAACTGCTCTTCCTTGTAGGCATAAGGATATTATCACAGACAGCTTTGTAATTCCAGATACATCTTGAAATGTTCTTGTAATGATGAATGTGATGCCACTCCTCTTGAATTTGTTGTTCTGAGCATAGTAAACCATGATTGTCAGAATCAATATGGCCAATACCAGTCTATTTCAGCTCACTATTGCCTAGGAGCTCTGGTGGTGTAGTGGTTATGAGTCGGGCTAACCACAAAGTCAGCAGTTCAAAACTACTAGCTGTTCTATGAGAGAAAGATGAGGTTTTCTGCTCCCATAAAGATTTATAGCCTCGGAAACCCTATACAGGGTCACTATGAGCTGGAACCGACTCCACAGCATACAACCACCACCACCACCAATGCCTAGGAAGTTGATCTTAATGCATTTTTGACAATTTTCAATGTTCCGAGACACATATTTCATGCATTCCTTGATGTTTGTAGCTGTTTTGTCTCATTCTGAGGTGTGTTCCATCTGCAAATTAAGGTCCCAAAAGCTTTGCTCTATTCATCCACTAAGTTCAATTCTATTATGAGGAGTTAGCTCTTTCCCAGTCATATGTTGAGTACCTTCAACCTGAGAGGCTCATCTTCTGACATTGTACCTGACAATATTTTGGTACTATTCAGAATGTTTTCATCTTCCGGCACTATATTTGATAATGTTCTACTACTATTCATTAGGTTTTCAGTAGCTAAACATTCAGAAGTAGCTCATCTCTCCTTCTTCCTAGCCTGTCTTAATCTGGAAGCTCTGCTGATAGCTATCCAACATCGGTAACCCTGCATGTATTTACAATACCAGTGGCACAGCAGCCAGCTTCACAACAACATGCAAGGCAGCACAGTACGACAAACTGACATGCTAGATTAGACATTTTGAATCATAACAAATCATGGATAATATTGTGAGGAAGGGAACTGCGGAATGCTTAATCATACTCATGTGGAACCTATACACAGACCCAGAGGCATTCATTTGAACACAAGTGTATAGTGCATGGTTTAAAATCAAGAAGAGTGTGTGTTAGGGTTATGTCTTTTCACCGCACTTACTCAATCTGTATGCTGAGCAAGTAGTCAAAGAAGCTGGCCTATGCGAAGAAGACTGCGGCATCAGGATTAGAAAGAGACTCATTAACAACCTGCAATATGCAGATGACACAACCTTGCTTGCTGAAAGTGGAGAGGACAGGAATGACTTACTTATGAAGATCAAACACGACAACCTTCAGTGTGGATTACACCTCAACATAAAGAAAACAAAAATCTTCACAAGTGGACCAATAAACAACATCACAATAAATAGAGCAGAGGCTGAAGGTGTCCAGGATTTTCTTCTACTTGGATTCACAACCAACATCCAAGGAAAAGGAAGACTTTTCTGTTTTGTCTGTTCTGATGGCAGTCCCTCCCTGGTATACTCAATATTCCTGCCAACACCACAAATCAAATGCATTAATTATTCTCCAGTCTTCCTTCTTCTCAACACTTGTGTGGAATTATATCTAATTGAGATGCACTCCCTCTATCTGATATTTTAATACTGAAAACGTGTAAGTCTGCCCTTTGGCCAGTATTGATTGGACATACTAAAGTGAAACCATTAGATTTTCCCACTTGGGTTGTTGATTTGAAACAGTATGTAGGCTTTGTGGTGGACAAAATGAGATCACAGCTTTGATTACAACACCACCACACCAGGACTCTGATAGTAGACGACTGAGGCCTAATGGTACTGCAGGATAAGCACTGGACTGTAAACCACAAGGCTGGCAGTTCAAACTTACCAGCTGCTCCTCAGAAATCCTACACAGGTCTCTGTGGGTCAGAACTGACTCAATTGCACTTACCAACAACCTGTGCTTCCGCTGGCTCAGACATGGTGTCAACAGTGTAGAGAACATAGTAGTTGGTGATTGATCTTGCAAATGCCTTTTTCTTGATCCCAATCTTGGGAAATACCCAGTTACAGTTTGCTTTCACATAGGAAGTTTACCAATTTACTTTCAATGTATTGCCATAGGGTTTCTTGAATTTATTGACTTACTGTTATGATTTGGTTAGAAGATACATTTATTGCATATTATTACATTAATGATATTCTATTAATATAAAATACAAAAGGGGAGGCTCTGACAGATTTGAAAACAGTGGTGGCCCACAGAGGCAACACAGGCTGGTTAATAAACCCAGCAAAATTCCAGGGCCCTGCCCAAATGGTGAAGTTCTTGAAAATTACTAGGGCAGTAGTCACCTTTGACATCATGCAGGCAATCAAGAATAGTTACGATTGCTGCCTACCCTCAAGATTCAGCAGACCCAACATTTCTTTGGTCTATTTGGTTTTTTAACCTTATATTATGAAGGTTTACAAAGCAGATCAGTTTTCTGTTCAACAATTCATATACATTTTTGTTTCATGTCATTGATTGCAATCTCTACAATATAATATCGCTTATCCCAAGTCCTCCCCATTTCCTTGTTTCCCGGTTCCATTCCTCCTCTTTCCTAACCCTTCTGAACTTTGTCCTTGGGTAAATGCTACCCTTTTATCTCAAATGGGTTATTATTCTAAGGTGTGCATCCCTCACTAGTGTTCCTGTTCCTTTTATAGACCTGTTTATTATTAGGCTGAAAATTGAGCCAGGTGGGACACAGCACTCTGATGGAGATACTGTGACTTGAAGGACAACTAAGGGACACAGTCTCAGGGTTCCAACAACTAAGTCTAGTCTTTTTTATGATTTTGAGTTTTATTCCACATTCCCCTCCTGCCCCTCTCTGCCCCCCCGCCCACACACACACACTTGGACCTTCCAATGTGATTTCTCTTACAGAGACGTTGGCAGAGCTAGCTGAGGACCATCTAATTCTGATTTCAGGGTGATGGGAACAGATGTTCACATGGTCCATTTGTCTGCTGGACTAATTGTTTCCAGGATTCTTTAGTTTTCTTCACTCTTCTTTTTTCCAGACACAGAGAGACAAACAGTTAGTTGCACTTTAGATGGCCACTCAAGAGCTTTTAAAACTCCAGTTGCTATTCACCAAAGTAGGGTGTAGAATTTTATCTTTGTGGACAATTTTATGACAACTGACCTTGGTGTCCCCTGAGACCATGATCATGAGCTTCTGGGTCTGATGACTCATTTATACTCAAGGTTTTCGGTTATGTTTAAGAAGTAGTCATACATTTTCTGCCTGTATGCTCCACCACATCCCCATAGGTTGAAAACACTTAAACAGTCACAGCAACAATGGACTCACACCTACCAACACCCAAGAATCTAGCACAGGACTAGACAACATTTCATTCTGTTGTCCGAGTAGTCATAATGAGTTAGAGCCACTTCAATCTCCACCAAGAGCAATGAGCTCTGGCATGCTCAATAGGAACCCGGGTGCATAATAGTTAAGTACTCAGCTGCTAACAGAAGGGTTGACAGTTCAAACTTACCCAGGGGCTCCAAAGGAGAAAGATGTGGTGCTCTGCTCTGCAAAGGGTCCTAATCAGGAAACCCTATGGGGCAGGTCTCTTCTTTCACATGGGGTCACTAGGAATTGGAATCAACCCAGTGGTATTTATGAATAACACAACAGCATATATACAGACACAAAAGTGAAAATTTCTCATTTAATCTGCCATGTGTTCATTCTACTGAATTCTCATAAATCATCTAAGGAGCACTTCATTAAGAATGGGAAGGCCATTGAGAAAATCTGGCATTCTTTCAACAAAAATTTCCATCATTTGTTATCTGACTTTATGAGTTGTACAATCATGTTCTCATCCCACTGAATTTTCATAAATTATCCTAAAGACACCTCATTAGGAATGGGAAGGCCACTGAAAGAGGCTAGAATGCTTCCAACCATGTTTTTCATCATTTGTCGTCTAGACTGATGAGTTGCACTCCCAATGTGAAGAGTCAAAGTGACATTCTTCAACTTCAATAAAGGATGATCTCTGAAATACAAATTAATTGAACAAAATAGCTTAGACTTGTTTGGTCTCTTAGCCTCATATACTGCTTTCACCATCCCTGGGACACAGCCCTGCACTGAGATAGAAATGTCTATGAAAGGCCTTAAAACATACTCAAACATCTAGGTTTATCTAACATTCACCTAATTCTAGTGTTGTTGTTGTTAAGTGCCATTGAGTCGATTCTGAACTATAGCGACCCTGTATAGGGTTTCCAAGGAGCAGCTGGTGAGCTTGAACCACCAACCTTGCAGTTTAAATGGCTTTGCAGTCTGGCGCCTTAATCCACAGTGCCACACCAGGACTCTGTATGGACCCACTATTTTTGGTTATAAAACATGTATCTCGAATAGAGAGAAATACTGTTAACTGATGGTACATGAAGGAGATTCTAATCATTGTAATAAAACAAAGTGTATGATTTATTGAATGTAAAGCTGATGATTTTCCCTGTAAACTTTCACTCAATTCACAATAAAAACATTTAAAAAACAACAACAAACCATGTATCTCAACACCACACACGTCACAATAGCAAAAGCAAGTGTGGTCCATTTAAAGGTACTGGATCAAGACACAGAGGGCTTTAGGGGAACTAGGTGCTAATCTAGGTGTCATAGGGAAAGGAAATGAGGAGCAACATTCAGAAGAAAAAAGACATATTAATGGGAATAAGCAGATTACAGGGAGTTCTTTTCCAGGCGGAAGCCAAGGGAAACAACCTGGAGGGGATGGGGTATGGAGGTTTACTGAAGTGTGTCGGGACACTTAACAAATAATGCTGGTTAATGCTAGGACCCACCATTGGGAAAGGACTCGTACACTGGCCCAACAGGGCCTCTTGACTATTTTAATACAAATGAAGGCTGACGTAATCATGGAGCAATGGACCTCTATTGTACCAGCTGAGACTCAAGGGGCACACCATGGGCGTCTATGGACTTATAAACCTATGGAAGTTCTTTGCAGGTATCTGTAATTCACATTGATGCACTAGAGCTACCCTCACCCCAAAGTAGTTCAAATAAGACATGTATTTAGCAAAGGTTAAGAACTATTCTGGTTAAGTTAGCAAAGGTTAAGAACTATTATCACTCCGCTCCTACCCATAGGGTTTTGAGCTATGAAAGCACACAACCAGGATCACTACACTGGGAAACAGAAATAATCAAATTCTAGCCAGTTGTAATGCCTGTTTGTAATAATATCTAGTATATATGCAAGGAAATACCTCTGGATTGCTTACTGATTTATTCTGTAAGGAAACTGAATTGAGCTATGACCATACTGTGGTCCTGTTGGTAAGATTCACTTACCTTATACAAGTAAGTCATATAATAACACAGATAATGATGATCAAATGTCCTGGGAAAAGGTATTAAGGCTTCCTAAGAATGCAAGACCAATGGAAAATGACAGACCTGAGGAAGAACTGGATTAACTAACTACCCGCCAATTCTATGCTAAATAGTTCTCTATACATGATTAATCATAAGGTACAATAACAGTAGATTAGGGGGAAGGGTCTGGTGTGGCACTGTGGGTTAATATGCTGGACTGTAAAGTCGGTTTGAATCACAAGGTTGATGGTTCAGGCTCACCAGCTGCTCCTTGGAAACCCCATATAGAGTGGCTATAGATTGGAACTAAGGAGCTCTGGTAGCGTAGTGGTTACGAATCGGGCTGTGAGCCTAAAGGTCAGCGGTTCGAAACTACCAGCTGCTCCGCGGGAGAAAGATGAGGCTTTCTACTCCCGTAAGGATTTACACCCTTGGAAACCCTGTACAGGGTCGCTATGGGTCGGAACCGACTCGACGGCACACAACAACAACAACAACATAGATTGGAACTGGCTCAACGGCACTTAAGAATAACAGGGGTGCGGTGATGATAAGTAACTAACTTTGTAGAAAAATATGCAATGGCCTTATATGACATATGAATTGTTCTTTAACTCTATATCTACCCCACACTGGTTCCTCCAAATACTGGGAATATTCATAATGCTATTGTTGTATCTTTTTTTTTTTTTTTTTTTTTGATTACAGATTACTTTAATCATTTTAATCATTTCTTATGAATATAGTGGGATTACAGAAGGTTGCACTCATGCTCCCAGTGAGAATTAAGAGTTTTGAAATTTAAAGCAGACTACTCTTTGGCTACATAAAGGCAATATATTAAAGTACAAACAAGGAGATAGCTATTCAGCAGAGCAAATACAGCCACACTGTGCAAAGAAGGCTGAGAAACAGCTCCTAGTCTGAAAAACTAAGACTGCCTCACTCAAATAGAGGTAGACATAGGTTTTGATTGATTTTTCTTATTGACAGTCAAAGGAAAGCTTCAAGAAAACAGGATCATCGCTGCAGTTGGATCAGAGAAACTCTGGCTTACTTTTCGCATGTTAGCCGATTCAGCCAGTAATTCTGACTCCGCGGCGGAGTCTGTGCACCTGGCCCTTGAGTTCTTCCAGCAGGATGGCCTGCAATTGCTCCAGCACCAGAATTTCCATAATCTGCTCCTTTGTGTTGATGTCGGGTCTCAGCCATAGCTCAGCAAGCTCCTGGAGATGCTGGAGGACAGCCCTGGGCCCAGGGGCACTCTCATAGCGGAACTGCCTGAACCTCTGCTGGTAGGCTGCAGGTTGGGGGGAATCCTCCGTGGGATGGTCTCGTCTTCCATAGAGTCTTCATCATCAAGGCTCTTTGGTGAAGGTCCTGCAGGACCCAATGAAGCCTGGACCAGGGGAGCCGGTATGACTTTGGGCTCAACGGTCATTGCCTCATCAGGTGACTTTATTTGAGCATCATTCCTATTTCCTTGTGTCTCGGTGTACTTGTCAGTCTCCATTCTGGAACAGTTACGTCTTGGAGATCCTATACAGGGCCGCTTTGAGTATGCGTTGTGTCTGATCCACAGCAGTTAAGGCCACACACCTGACTCCGGAAAAAGGCCTATTGTTGTATCTTTTATACAAGTGCTATAGGACAGATACAAACCTCAACCAATCTGATCACTCTGCTACAGCCCCCAGAGACTGTCCTACAAACACTGGAAGGAAGATGATAATGACAGTTTGTCTGGAACTCTATCTTTCAGGCTACAAGAGAAATGTCTGATGATATGTAGCCTCATACAGTAAAACTAAGATGAAGTATACAAGGGGTCTTCAAAATATGAAGATCTGGAAGAGTGAATCATCAAACTTACCCTTGGATGCTTCAGCGGCAAGCCGGGGATCAGTGAGTAATGCATAGGGCTATTCGGGCTGCATGTAAGAAGGAAAAGTCTCTGGAGACTGAGCAGAAGAGGACGAGGCGGAGGCCAGGTGTAGGCAAGCAGGGCTCACATCCTAGGCCGAGGGGTAATACACCATTCTCTGAGCCCTTCTAACTCCACGATTCTCTAGTTCTACAACTGTTGTTATTAAATGCCATTAAGTGAGTTCTGATTCATAGTCCTGTATAAGGTTTTCACAATTGTTGATGTTGTTAAGTGCTGTCGAGTTGGTTCCAACCCATAGTGACCGTCTGCATAGGGTTTCTGAGGAGTGGCTGGTGAGCTTGAACCACTGACTTTGCGGTACAGCGCATGAGCTCGCAGCACCATACCAGGATTCCCAGGGTTTCCACTAGGTCCTGGGAAACCCTAAACAGGGTCGTTGTTTGAGTCAGAACCAACTCGACGGCACTTCACAACAACTAGGTGAGGCTGTAAAAGCCAACAGCAACCATTATCCAAGGGTCTTGCCTTCACTTTTTTTCAAGGAGGATTTATAGATTTTGTTCTGTTTAGTCACCTGGGCAGTGGTTCAGGATACGTCACATCCAATGCGGCAGCTTTAATCACCCCAGTCTGAAGAGCTTCCACAAGCGCATCTTGATCAACTAATAGACCTGAATCAAGAAAACAATTCCTCTGTCGTCACCATCTTTAGACAACATACAGAAGACAAGTATGAGGGACACATCAGCTACCCAATCAAACACATCCTAACTGTTCTCCATTTAACAGGTTCGAAGGTATGTCAAAGGTGTGAACATCATACTGCCTTAATTGTTACAATAAACTGCCTGGCTTATCATTATAAATAGTACTAAGAGCCCACCAGGTGCCAGGTCGGGTGTCCTTCACACACATTAATACTTGAGTGAATCCGCAAATAAACCAGCAAGGTCAGAATTAGTTTGATTGAAGTGTTACTGAGGCTCAGAGGGTACTCAATTTGCCCAAGATAAAACAGTTTCTAAAGCACTGATGCCAGATTCAGATTCTGGTTTGTCCCAAACATTGGCCCCGTCTTCTTTCACCACACCATCTCCAAAGCCTCTCACAGGACTTGAGGTTAGAAGACAGAGTTCCCAGGAAGTCCTTGTAGACCCTGTAATCTGTTGCTGTCCAGTCAGTTCCTGCTGATGGCAAAGGCACGTGTATCAAGGGCTGATTTTTCACCAGATCACCAGAGCTTTAGCTCTGGTAGCGTAGTGGTTACGAATCGGGCTACGAACCTTAAGGTCAGCGGTTCGAAACTACCAGCCGCTCCGCGGGAGAAAGATGAGGCTTTCTACTCCCGTAAAGATTTACACCCTTGGAAACCCTGTACAGGGTCGCTATGGGTCGGACCCGACTCGATGGCACTTAACAACAACAACAACAACCAGAGCTTTATTCCAAGATGCCTCTGGGTAGACTCGAACCACCAACCTTTTGATTAGCAGCTGAGTGTATCCCCCTTTGTCACATTATAGGGGCTCCTCCTAGTAGTTTCATACACATAAATATGATTCACAAATGACTATGATTTCAACACAAAATAGTACAGCATGCTCTGGGTAGCAGAAGATATAGAGAAAGCCACATAACATGCTTACTAATGGCCTGAGTGTGTAGCCGCCCAGACCCAGACCCAGCTCCATCTGAGGTGGCAAGGAGACCTACTCCACACTGATTATTGGGGTGTTTTAATTTTTATTCCCATTAGAATCTTTGCTATGTTTACCCAGATTCTGATACTATAGAGAATATATATCATTCCATATTTTACCAATCCCTCCCCATCATCTGGAAGGTCTATTTTCAGACATATGAGTTCTGTCCTGTGAGGCCTGTGTCAAGCTTGCTGGGCTATGTTACACGTGAGAGAGCTGAAGGGAAACAGTGTACAGGGGGTTACTGGTAGAGCCAGTCTAACACCACGTACTCATGCCCCCACAACGGCAGCACCGACACTCTTCTGTGCTTCACTTGGGAGGATCGGAAAGCTTTGCCTCCCTTCAATTTACCCTAAGGGTTGGCTCTAGCACAGACTCAACTACCTCCTCCTGTATGTAACATAAAGCACTAGGTGGATGTCAAAGTCTCTAAGTAGCACTCATCAGTTTGGAAAGTGATGGCTCACAAAATTTATCCTGATTATATTGTCTAATTACAGCCAGAGGATCAAACTGTTACCTCCCCACGCCAAATAAATACCCAAACTTGGGATGAAATATCCCCACTTTAGAGAATTCTCTCTCTCTTTTTTTTTTTTTTTTTTTTTTTACTATTTTAAGGTTCAAAATGGTGTGAAAGCAAAAAAAAACCTAATAAAATCAGGAGCAAATTTCCTTTTACTTCACGTGTTCAACAGTCTGGTTTGATCTGCTGAAGCAAGAAGTCATTGTGGGGCATGGGGAGGGGGGGCATGCCACAAGGATAGATGGGGGATCCATCTTTTTGTGCCATTTTCTGACCAAAGAGAGCAGCATCCTATTTTACTTTAAGACAAGCAGAGGGGTGTTGATACCTCTACCAATATTGATGAGAATCGCCGTAGGTTTCATCAGTCCCAACTCCCTCTTCCCAATCATGCTCTGGGTCTGCGGTGTCAGGCTGACCGTCAACATCACAAAGTCAGACTTTTGCAGCAGGTCGTCCAGGTGTTCACAGTAAGTGGCTCCAACGGCCTTCTCCTCAACCAAGTTCCTACAAAAGAGAAAATCACCTTCTCTAGGACTTGTGGTGTGGCGCTGTAGGATAAGCACTGGATGCTAACCCCAAGGTCCAAGATTCATAGCCCCCACTTGCTCTTGAGAAACCTCGGTACATCATGGTCACTATGAGGCAGAATGACAGCACTTAACAGCAACTATAAAGTCAGAAACTTCCCTAGCTGCCCCAGGGTCTGGCAAACCCATCCAGGAAGGAGTTTCTTAAAGAGAGTCTCCCCTCAATACTGCCATGTGGTCCCTGAGCACCTAGACTCTGTTGAGAGTCCACATATCACTTAGAATCACTCCTCAAGGTACCCTGATGTCTCCAGAACTCACAGGTGGTGTCTGTTCTGCACCAGAGCTGAGCTCCCTGGGGCAGTGGCTGTGTCTCACCACCTAGAGCTCAGTCACAGATCACATACACTTTCAATCCTGTTGGAGTGTAGGCAAACACACTCAAGAGTCCCACAAAACCAAACCACGAAGGCCTCGGAGTGTTGTTTGTTAAGCAAGAAGCAAAGGGTCTAATGCAGTCAGGATTTTGTGCTTCCTTTTTGCTTTATTTTGGACCCAATTTTAATTTCTGCTCTGGTCATCTCAGAACTGCCTATTCAAAACCCCTATAACACACAGCGTTCTTGGGTAATCACCACTAACATGTAAACATGGAATGCCAAATAGGAACACATTTTCTTTCAACACGAGTGTTTGTAGCCAGGGATGGCACAGAGGAAGAGGAATGTCCCACATGCTCCATGGAAGAACCAGGGTAAACTGTGCCCTTGGAGTGCCCAACATGCTTTATTGACATAAGAACCAAATACAGGCCAATATAATTAGTAGCGTATTATATGTAATACATGATGTATCTTATTTATGCATTTAAATATTATTCTGACAAGGGATCTGTTTTAGTCAGTAATGCTGGAATCACAGAAACACCACAGTGGATGGCTTTACAAACAGCTAGAAGTCTGAATTCTGTGTGCTGGCTCTAGGGGAAGGCTCCTTGTATATACACGCTGGAAGAAGGGTCTTGTGTTTTCTCAGCTTCTTTTCCTTGGTTTCTTGGTGGTGTTTTTGTAGTATAGCTTCTAGCTTCCCCCATCTTTGTGTATCTCAAAAAGTGACTGACTTAAGACACACCATACCCTACACTAACACTGTCTCATTAAAAATAGCAGCAACACCAAATTCCAACCTTATAGTCTAACCACAGCTCATACCAGATGTCGGTTCCCACTCATAGTAACCCTAGGCACAAAAGAACGAAACACTGCCTGATACTGTAGCACCCTTACAATGGTTTGCATGCTAAAGCCCATCGCTGTTGCCACTTTACCAAACCATCTCCTTGGGTGAATTCTCTTTTTCACTAACCCTTCACTTTACCACGCATGATGTCCTTCTCCAGGGATTGATCCTTCATGATAACATGTCCAAAGTATGACAGGAAAACTCATCATGCTGGCTTCAAATGAACATTCTGATTGTACTTCTTCTGATACAAATTTGTTTGTTCTTCTGGCAGTCCATGGTACTTTCAACATTCTCTGCCAACACCATAACTCAGAGGCATCAATTCTTCCACACTCTTCCTTTACTGTCCAACTTTCATATGCATATGAAGTTACTGAAAATACCATGGCTTGGGTCAGTTGCACCTTAGTCCTCAAACTGAAATCTTTGCTCTTAACTATCTACTTTAAAGAGTTCTTGCATAGCATATTTGCTTGATGCAATACATTGTTTGATTTCTTGACTACTGCTTTCAGGAATTTTGATTGTGGATCCAAGCAAAATGAAGTCTTTGACAACTTCAATCTTTTCTCCATTTATCATGATGTTCTTTATTTGTCTAATTGTGAGGATTTTCATTTTCTTTACACTGAGGTGCAATCCATACTGCAACCTGCCATCTTTGATCTTCATCAGTAAGTATTTTAAGTCCTCCTCCCTTCCAGCAAGCAAGGTTCTATCATCTGCATATTGCAGGTTGATAATGACTCTTCCTCCAATCCTGATGTCACATTCTTCTCCTCAGATAATCCAGCTTCTAGGATCATTTGCTCAGCATACAGACTGAGTAAGTATGGTGAAACAATACAATCCTGGTGCACACCTTTTCTGATATTCAACCATTCAGTAGCCCCTTGTTCGGTTCGAATGACTGCCTCCTAGAATGGGTATTCCAATGGGAATACCCAAACACACTTAATTGTGTTTTGGAATACTCATTCTTCTCAATGTTATCCATAGCTTGTCATGAGCTAGACAGTCTAAAGCCTTTGCATAGTCAAAAAAACACAAACATCTTTCTGATATTCTCTGTTTTCAGCCAAGATCCATCTAACAACAGCAATGATAACCCTAGTTCAACATCCTCTTCTAACTCTAGCTTGAGTTTCTGGGAGCTTTCTGCCTATGTAATGTTGTAGCTATTTTTGAAATATCTTTAGCAAAATTTTACTTGCATGTGATATTAATAATGTTGTTTGATGATTTCTATATTCTGTTGGATCACTTATATTTGGAAACGTCACAAATATGGATCTTGTCCAAACACTTGGTCAGGTAGCTGTCTTCCAAATTTCTTGGCATAGATGAGTGAGTACCTCTACTGCTTCATCTGTTGGCTAAAGATTTCAATTTGTGTTTCATCAATTCCTGGAGTCTCGTTTTTTGCCAATGCCTGTAGTGACCTTGGATGTCTTCCTTCAGTACCATGGGTTCTTGATGATATGCAATATCTTGAAAAGGTTGAACATCAACCATTTCTTTTTATTACAGTGACTGTGTATTCTTTACATCTCCTTTTGATGCTTTCTGCATCATTCAATGTTTTGTCCATTTTTGTTGTTGTTAAGTGCCGTCAAGTCAGTTCTGACTATTGGCGATCCTGTATAGGGTTTCTAATGAGTGACTGGTGTGTTTGAACCACTGACCTTGTGGTTCAAACCAACCTTGTGGCCCAGTGCTTTATTCCACATTGCCACATCAAGACTCCTTCAATATTACAAGTTGAGACTTAAACTTTTCTTTAGTTCGTTCTGCTTGAGAAATGCTGAGTGCATTCTACCCTTTTGGTTTTCTAACTTTGCACATTACACTATAATACTTGAGTTGTCTTCTTGAGTTGCTCTTTGAAATTTTCTGTTCCACTCTTTTACTTTCTCATTTCTCATATTTGCTTTAGCATCTCTGTGCTCAAGAGTAAATTTCAGACTCTCTCCTGACATCTACTTTGGTTTTCTCTTTCCTTCCTTTATTTTTCATGACCTTTTGCTTTCTTTCTGTAAGATGTTCTTGCTATCAACCCATAGCTCACCTGGTCTCCAGTCATTAGCGTCTAATGCATGAAATCTGTTCTTGAGATGGTTTCTAAATCCAGGTGGGATATGTTCAGAGAAAATTTCTCAAGCTGAGGGAACTGAAGGAAAAATTAAAGCCTTGACTTGCCATATTGAAGGATTCTATACCGCAAGGTCAGCAGTTCGAAACTACCAGCTGTTCCACGGGAGAAAGATGAGGCGTTCTGCTCCTGTAAAGATTTACAGCCTCG